CCCTTCTTGCCTCCAAAGATAACGTTTTTTTGTCTCCACATATACCTCAACGCACCACTCGCCTTTTTTCCTTCATCAGTTCTATGGTTAATCTCATCCCTCATAAACCCATCTGCTGACACATCAACTTCCATATATCTGAAAACATTCACTTCTTCCATACTCCCTCTCTCCAATGTGATATCCAATTTTCTTTATCTAAATTGTTTGATACCCTCATTACCTTACTCTTATCTATGTTCACTTTCAACTTTCTACCTTTACATACCCTCCCAAACTCGTCCACTAACCTTTGCAACTTTTCTTTAGAATCTCCCATAAGCACAGTATCATCAGCAAAAAGTAACTATGTCAGCTCCCATTTTGTACTTGATTCCCCATAATTTAATCCCACCCCTCTCCCCAACACCCTAGCATTTACCTCCTTCACAACCCTATCTGCAAATATATTAAACAACCATGGTGACATTACACATCCCTAAGACCTACTTTTACCGGGAAGTAATTTCCCTCTCTCCTACACACCCTAACTTGAGCCTCACTATCCTCATAAAAACTCTTTACAGCATTTAGTAACTTACTACCTATTCCATACACTTGCAACATCTGCCACATTGCTCCCCAATCCACTCTATCATATGCCTTTTCTAAATCCATAAATACAGTGAAAACTTCCCTACCTTTATCTAAATATTGTTCACATATATGCTTCAATGTAACACTTGATCTACACACCTCCTACCCAATCTAAAGCCTCCTTGCTCATCTGCAATCCTACTCTCTGTCTTGCCTCTAATTCTCTCAATAATAGCCCTACCGTACACTTTTCCTGGTATTTTAATAAACTTATTCCCCTATAATTTTTACAATTTCTTTAGTCCCCCTTCCCTTTATATAAAGGGACTATACATGCTCTCTGTCAATCCCCCTCTTTCATACATTTATTAAACAAAAATACTAACCACTCCAACACTATATCTCCCCCCTGCTTTTAACATTTCTGTCATGATCCCATCAGTTCCAGCTGCTTTACCCCTTTTCAGTCTACGTAATGCCTCACGTACCTCCACCACACTTGCATCTTGCTCTTCTTCACTCCTAAAAGATGTTATACCTCCCTGGCCAGTGCATGAAATTTCCACCTCCCTTTCTTCATCGACATTTAAAAGTTCCTCAAAATATTCCTGCCATTTACCCAATACCTCTACCTCCCCATCTACTAACTCCCCTACTCTGTTTTTAGTTTACAAATCCATTCGTTCCCTAGGTTTTCTTAACTTGTTTTTCCCACTCCAAATTTTTTCCTTATTTTCTGCAAAATTTCTTGACAGTGCCTCTCCCACTCTATCATCTGCTGTCCTTTTGCACTCTCTCACCACTCTCTTCACCTTTCTTTTGCTCTCAATATACTCTGCTCTTCTTATAACACTTTGCTTTGTAAAAAACTCTCATAAGTATCTTTTTCTCTTATCACACCCTTTACTTCATCATTTCACCAATCACTCCTCTTTCCTCCTGCACCCATGCTCCTATAACCACAGACTTCTGCCCCACATTCTAATACTGCATTTTTGAAACTATTCCAACCCTCTTCAACCCCCCCCCCCCCCCCCACCACTCATATTTGCACTAGCCCACCTTTCTGCCAATAGTTGCTCATATCTCACCCTAACTTCCTTCCCCATTAGTTTATACTCTTTCACCTCTCTCTTACTTGCTGTTGGCATTTTCCTTTTGTCCCATTTACCTCTTACTCTAAGTGTAGCTACGACTAAATAATGATCCGATATATCAGTTGCCCCTCTATAAACTTACATTTTTAATTATTTTTTTTTTCAACATGTCGGCCATCTCCCACCAAGGCAGGGTGACCCCAAAAAATAAGAAACACTTTCGCTATCAGTCACACATAATCGCTGTCTTTGCAGAGGCACGGAGATTCAACAGTTCAGCTGTCACTCTAAACAGTAAATATCCCAAACCCCTCCTTTAAAGTGCAGGCATTGTACTTCCCACCTCAAGGACTCAAGTCTAAGTAACCAGTTTTTCTGAATCCCTTCACAAAATATTACCCTGCTCACATTACACAGCTCGTCAAGTCCCCAAAACAATTAGTCTACACTTGCTCCTATCTAATACGCTTACACATACCTGCTGTATGTCTGTTTTTATCCCTTTTAGGATCCGTACCGTAATTCTATGGCTTTGAAGCCAGGGTCCTTGCTGTAGTACTACATGATGAGCTCAGCTCACTCAGATAAGCTGTGAGCGGTGAATTTGGGACTATATATGATAGAATGTTGAAGATTGAGGCACTTATGCAACATATGGAAATCTTTATTGAGGAAACGTTTCGCCACACAGTGGCGTCATCAGTCCAATACAAATCAGAGGGGTGTAAGGAGAGAAGGAGTTCGAGGTAATCAGTCCCTCAGCCTGGAGTCAATGTGTTCAGTCCGTCAATCTTGTAGAAAGATTTCTACAAGATTGATGGACTGAACACGTTGACTCCAGGCTGAGGGACTGATTACCTCAAACTCCTATTCTCCTTACACCCCTCTGATTTGTGTTGGACTCATGAAGCCACTGTGTGGCGAAACATTTCCTCAATAAAGATTTCCATATGTTGCATAAGTGTCTCAATCTTCAACTTGTTTTTGTTTTTTTAAACCTTTTATCACATAATAGAATGGTTTGATGCAGTAAGTGTGCACCATATAAAATAAATCTTGCAGCACACAGTGCATAATGAAGAAAAAAATAGCTGCGACCTCGTTTTTCACTTAAAACAGCAAATTTGCAGTGTATTTCCATAGGGTTTTATGGTTGTATTCTCAGTTTCTTGGTCTCATTTGGTAGAATGGAAGGTATATTACAGAATTGGAGATAATTTTCATGGTTTTGAGGACTCAAAATAGCTTAAAATTGAGCTCAAAGTAGCATAAATGTTTGATTTTTTCTGATGTTCAAGAGTAAACAAATCATGTCACATGTCTAGTACATATCAGCTGGTGGGTCTAATATGCATTCACAAATGTGCTGATATTATTTATACAATTATTATAATATTGTATAACAGTAAATTTTCTATTTTTTTGTGTGAATAAAAAATCAAAATGGAATTTGTATGTAAAGCCTGGGAACATAACTAATGAAAAGAGGAAATGTTATTTTAGTGCCAGGAATCTCTGCATGGTTTATTCTGGACTATATTTTGAAACTGGAATATTTTGAAATTTGTCAAAGTGGCCAAAATACCAATTTCTGATCACTTTATTGGGTAGTTTAAATAGTTGATTGGGCACTTTCTTGTGCTTAATCGATAAAATAGAAGGCATACTAGTGAAATAGCTAAGAATTTTGTCAGCTGGAACATTGTAATTGGCTTAAAATAGGAGTCAAAGTGGGCAAAATCGGTGATGCATGAATATCGCTGACACAGCAAAATTTGTGATAGCATAATTTCATCAGTTTTTCCATCAAATTTTGTACTTTTTGTTTTATTACCTTCAGAAGAAGATTCTCTACCATTTCATAAGGAAAAATAAAAAAAAAATTCTGAAAGTTCTTGGGCCCTGTGGATAAGTTTCAGATCAGGGGTCTGGACCCTGAAAGAGTTTTTATATTACTCTAAATCTTCATTTTTTTTTTAACTCTTAATTGTAGCTGGTTTTTCTTCATTTTTTTTTCTTCACATGAGCTGTATATATCTCTTGAAAATTACCCTCTGGTATCTTTATTTGACAGTTGAAAAACTGACTAAGGAAGGGTAGTTGGTGAAGAATTTATGTAGGATTTCTGCAGTACAGTAGTGAACTGGAAAGGTAAATATTATGCAGTGAATTCACAGCGTGAAGATTAGGAGTAAGTGCGGGATTACTAAAAGTATCCAGAGGGCTGAGGAGGGGTTGTTGAGGTCATTTGGACATTTAAGAGAGGATGAAGCAAAATAGGGTGATTTGGAGGGTGTATAAATCTGTACTGGAGGGAAAGCAGGGTAAGGGTCACCCTAGGAAAGGTTGAAAGGTGGGGGCAAATGAGGTTTTGTGTGTTGAGGGTCTTTGACATCCAGCAGGCATGCGTGAGCATATTAGATAGGAGTGAGTGGCGGCAAATGGTTTTTGGGACTTGACAAGCTGTTGGAGTCTGAGCAAGGTAACATTTGTGAAGGGATTCAAGGAAACTGATTAACTGGCTTTAATGTCCTGAAGGTAGGAAGTACAGTGCATGCACTCTGAAAGAGGGGTGTGGATATTTGCAGTTTGGAGGGGCATCTGAACTGTAGTATTGGCATGCTTCTGGGAAGACAGTGATAGTGAGTGATGGTGAAAGTTTTTCTCCTTTTTTTGGAGGGTTGCCCTACCTCAATGGGAAATGGCTAGTGCTAAAAAAATATTATCAAATCATTTATTTATATAATTATATTTTAAAATAGTGATTTTTATGTTGGGTATATGATACCGTGGCATGCGGAAGTTTATTTAATATTTTTTTTGTATCTGGAAATCAATCCTACAATTAATATAATTAAAAAAGTCAGTTAGAATGAGGTATTGTACAAAGTCTGACAAATTTCTGGTACCATTTCATACCTTTTGGGCAATTTTCACTTTGATTAGAAACTTAGCTTTCATCAGGTTCCAGTTCTCTGGCGACACAACTAGACAGATATCTTTGTGTATCATGAAGTAATGACTAAAATATGTTGATTACAGTTGTACAGTAACACTTGTTCTAAACCTTTTTTCTGAAATTAATGCTCTTTCAAAACCTTTGTAACAAAGAACGAGAGGTGATCATAATTAATTTGTTTAGTGGAATGGTTGGTATATGTGAAAAATGTGTTCAGAAGTGTTGTACTGTACTATATTTAAAAAAAAGAGCAATAAGGATTGATATATTTTAAGTAGTTTGTTTATTTTAGCATCATCCAGCTGTGTGAGAAGCATTGTATGATAATTTTTTATTCTGCATATGTTAATAGATTTTTTATTATGCAGAGGACTTAATCAAGAAGCATACTGCGGCTTGTGAAGCCTCTATCAAAAATCACGAACCCCAGGCCATGGTAGACAACACAAGTGCTATAGCTCGTCTGGCAAATCGGGTTCTTATGGTAGCCAAACAGGAAGCTGATAACTCTGAAGATCCTAGCTTTGTAGCTAAAGTCAATGCTGCATCTGATCAAGTTCAAGCAGGTAAGCATAATAATCTTATGTCTTGTATTATATAATAATAATTGTTATGAAAACTGTTACTAAAGAGTTTGTGGTGCATTTTTCTAAGATGGCTGTGTTTTTCATTTTTTGTGTTCACTGAAGTCAGCAACAAGTGTTCCAACACATTTAGGGGATGAAGGCTAGCAGACCACATTCAAACACCATGCAATATTGTCCTCACTGCCTCTGAATTTTGCTGATTAGTAGCTGGTGCTACATTATGACTCATATTTACAATTGTCATTTGTATATAATTACAAAGAAAAAGTACTAATGGAAATTACTAGTACTTGGTCACTTCTCAGTTGAGAACTACCATCCACTGGGAGAGATGGAGATGGAAGTGGGGGGGGGGGGACAGATAAGGATCAGTCTCTTGATAAGTGCAGTATATTCTTACAAATTTCATCATAAAAATGACTAGGAATTAGATACAAATATTTTTGTCCTGGTCCCTATCTCAGGTTAAAACACTGGTATCTACAGGAAAATGTGATTTTTCATTTAATAAAACTTTCTTCTAATTCCTACCAAGGTTGTTAGCTCCAAATATTTATACTACAAGAATCATCCTACCATGACTTAACTATCTATACAGAGCCAGGTAGGGAGATTTTATAGCAGCATCAGTTTAAAAAGAACTTGCCAGTCCAGGAACTGGAAGATAAGAATCAGGAATGGGGCCTCTTGAATTCATGGGTGCAAGCTCCTCTTGAAGTCACTAGGGTATTTGATATCCCCAAGTGCCTCCATCAAGTGTTTCCTGATCTAAGGAACCAGACTTACTCTCTCCTTAGATTGAACCTGTTTGCCTCCCATTTCCCAGGCACTATATGACCTCTTATGGATATAGTGCTATCTCCTGATTGAAATAAATAAAATATTCCCAAGTACCAACCATAGAAGATTGCAGTTGGAAAGCATTGCAGCACTTGACATTAAATGAGCTGTCAACTTGTCAGTCTCTTCTTCAGTAGTAGGGCTGCAGGCTACAGTATCAGCCACTAGTAAAAGAGATAGTGACCAAGACAAGGCCTTGGAAGCCCTTTGCTCAGAGATTACATTAGGCTCCTCTAGCTCCAGCTCTCAGCCCACAGGTAACAGGTCCCTGCACCCTTACCTCTGAGGAGGTAAGGGTGCAGGGACTTGCACTCACTTGATGGGCACTGGACCCACTAACAGGAAACAGCTACTTCAAACTCATTGCTGTAGAAAGGACATCCATTGATACCTCTCCACCAACTAAAGAGGCTCCTTCCTTTCCTATACTAATCAATTAGAGGGATCTCTGAGTATGAACAAATTTACCTAACCTGACTGAGAGGAGCCAGGACATTCTGAATGGCTATCAGAAGGCTTGTGGGCCAGACAAAGCAAATGGCCATCCTTGGCTGGAATTCTAGAAGAGCAGTAAGGACTGCCACAAATCAAGAAAACATCCCAGAGCCTCCAGGGGCCTGAGAAAGTATCCTTGGAGGAGAGGTGAAATTAGTGTTTATGCTACAACATTATGTCAACAATTGGAGCTTTGAGCACAGACTGCATCCTGCATGGTGCTACCTGCAACAGGCAAACATTGATATGCTATCTCAGGCAGAGTGCATATTTTGAGTAACTTTTTTTATAATTATCATCATTTCTCAGATTCTTCTTCTCCATAGGTTGTTGAATTGTAGGTTAAGAGTTTTTCATCTATGTTTTTAACTTCTGCTACTAGGATTTCAACGTCATCCGAGTTTTGGATTAAAATTTTTGTAGCTTGTAGTTTTTTAATACAATATTGCTATGCTACTACCTTTTTTATCCAAACTTTCCCTTCCACTCACTGAATAGTTTTTTCAAACACTGTAGAATTTGCTTCTGAGTTGAGGTATATGTGGAGACAAAAAAAAACGTTATCAATGGAGGCAATGAAGGGAATGTATGAAAGTATAGTGGTACCAACACTCTTATATGGGAGTGAAGCTTGGGTTGTAAATGCTGCAGTGAGGAGGTGGTTGGAGGCAGTGGAGATGTCCTGTCTAAGAGCAATGTGTGGTGTAAATATTATGCAGAGAATTCGAAGTGTGGAAATTAGGAGGTGTGGAGTTAATAAAGGTATTAGTCAGAGGGCTGAAGAGGGAATGTTGAGGTGGTTTGGTTATTTAGAAAGAATGGATCAAAGTAGAATGACATGGAGAGCGTATGAATCTGTAGGGGAAGGAACGCGGGGTATAGGTCATCCTCAAAAAGTTTGAAGGGAGGGGGTAAAGCAGGATTTGTGGGCAAGGGGCTTGGACTTCCAGCATGTGTGCGTGAGTGTGTTAGATAGGAGTGGATGGAGACGAATGGTTTTTGGGACCTGACGAGCTGTTGGAGTGTGAGCAGGGTAATATTTAGTGAAGGGATTCAGGGAAACCGGTAATTTTTATATAGCCGGACTTAAGTTCTGGAAATGGGAAGTGCGTACAATGCCTGCACTTTAAAGGAGGGGTTTGGAATATTGGCAGTCTGGAAGGATGTGTGATAGGATGGTATATATATAGTTGGGGCCGGGAGTTTATTAATTCAGATCACTTTTTATATTGTATCTTTATATATGCTTCTAAACTGTTGTATGTGGGTGCCTCTGTAAAAACAGTGATTATGTATGAGTGAGATGAAAGTGTTGAATGATGATGAAAGTATTTTCGTTTTGGGGATTTTCTTTCTTTTGGGGTCACCCTGCCTAGGTGGGAGAGGCTGACTTGGTAAAAAAAAAAATGTGCTTATTCATTTTAGTTCTGTCCTTTTAGATAGGTCATGCATAACTGTTATACCTGTGCAGTCTTTGTTTCTTACATCTTTGATTCATTTAAGCAATCATCCTTAATTGCTGACTTTAGCATTCATCTTTATATCTTTTCCCTATTTTCCTACTCTTCTGTATCTTAGTGCATTTTTTTTGTTAGTCACCTGTGTATTTCAACATCATCCTACCTCGTCTATTTTATTCTTTGACTCTGCTTTTATTTCTAGTACACTCCCCAAAAACTGCTTTAGCTCTATATATCTTTAATAGTTTTTGATTACTTGTAACTTCTTTCAACAAACCGGCCGTATCCCACCAAGGCAGGGTGGCCCAAAAAGAAAAACAAGTTTCTCTTTAAATTTAGTAATTTATACAGGAGAAGGGGTTACTAGCCCCTTGCTCCTGGCATTTTAGTCGCCTCTTACAACACGCATGGCTTACGGAGGAAGAATTCTGTTCCACTTCCCCATGGAGATAAGAGGAAATAAACAAGAACAAGAACTAGAAAGAAAATAACAGAAAACCCAGAGGGGTGTGTGTATATGTATGCTTGTACATGTATGTGTAGTGTGACCTAAGTGTAAGTAGAAGTAGCAAGATGTACCTGAAATCTTGCATGTTTATGAGACAGAAAAAAGGACACCAGCAATCCTACCATCATGTAAAACAATTGCAGGCTTTCGTTTTTCACTCACCTTGCAGGACGGTAGTACCTCCCTGGGCAGTTGCTGTCTACCAACCTACTACCTAGGATTACTTGTAACAGTCTTGGAAAAAAAAAAAAAAGAGACAAATACAATAATGTGCAATCTTTTATTGTCAGTAGAGATTGCATTATACTACCTTTGCCTTTTTTCATCATCTCAATATTTCATATCATTTCCCTCCATTGTAACTGTTTTTTTTTTTAACCTGTTTCTGATTGTTAGGCTTTCTTGTTTTCTTAATGTACTTTATTTTTTACTTTGCTTTTGCTTGGTCACAATTGCATGGCTTTTATTTATTCTTTGTCAATATGCTTTTAATAATAGTTTTTATTCCTACTTTTAAGCTGTGACACCAATGGTGCAAAACGCAAAGGATGTTGCAATGAATCCAGATGATCAGCGTGCCATTAGTCGATGGCGTCAATCTAATCAGGCTGTGAGTATTATTATTATTGTTATTATTTTTTTTTTTTTTAACAAGTTGGCCATCTCCCACTGAGGCAAGGTGACCCAAAAAGAAAGAAAATTCCCAAAAAGAAAATACTTTCATCATCATTCAACACTTTCACCTCACTCATACATAATCACTGTTTTTGCAGAGGTGCCCAGAACACAACAGTTTAGAAGCATGTATGTATAAAGATACACAACTCATCCCTCCAAACTGCCAATATCCCAAACCCCTTCTTTAACCCTTTGACTGTCGCAACCCCCAATCCTGAGGTGTCTCCTGGTGTCGCAAAATTTAAAAAAAAAAAAAATTATTTTTTCTTATGAAATGATAGAGAATCTTTTCCCGATTGTAATGATACCAAAAAAACGAAATTTGATGGAAAACTGACGGAATTATGCTCTCGCGAAGTTAGCGACCTCGGCGCTGTTTACAAATCGGCGATTTCGCCCACTTTGAGCCCTATTTTCGGCTAATTCCATTGTTCCAGTCGCCCAAACTCATAGCTATTTCTTTAGAACTTCATTTTTTCTATCGATTGAGTACAAGAAACTGCCCATTTACTGATTTCAACTACCTAATAATGTGGTCAGAAATTTGCAATTTGGCCAATTTCACAAAAACTAAAAAATATGACAATTTCAAAATAAGGTCCAGAATGAACAATGCAGACATTCCAGGCTCTAAAATAACATTTTCTTTGTTCATCAGTCATGTCTCCAGGCCCCTCTGATATTACTCTTGCTTTCTATTTTGAATTTTTATTCAAACAAAAAATATTAGACTTACTATTATGCAGACTACTGCAATGCTGTAATAACTGTATAAATAACATCAACCCATTCATGACTGCATATTAGAATGGCTAGTTGGACATTTATTGGAAAATGGCATCATTTGTTTACTTTTGAACATTGGCAAAAATCAAACATTTCCCCTACTTTGAGCTCCATTTCTAGGTTCTTTTTATAGTAAAATCAATCAAAAACACCACTATTTCTGTAATATGTTTTCCATTCTATCAAATGAGACCAAGAAAACGAGAATACAACCATAAATACTATACGAAAATAGACCACAAAGTCGGCATTTTAATTAAAAAAAACGGTCGGAGTTTTTTTTTTCTCATTATGCACTGCGTGCTCCAGGATTTTTTTTATATGGTGCACACTGACCACAAAGACCCATTCTCTCACATGTGGGCCTACCAGCTTTCTCCTGCTTGATTTGAAGCCGCTAGAATTTATGAGTATATATACGTCAAACACGGCACCTCGTAAAACGTATATGTACGGCCGCGACAGTCAAAGGGTTAAAGTGCAGGCATTGTACTTCCCATTTCCAGTACTCAAGTCTGGCTATATAAAAATAACCAGTTTCCCTGAATCCCTTAACTAAATATTACCCTGCTCACACTCCAACAGCTTGTCAGGTCCCAAATACCATTCGTCTCCATTCACTCTTATCTAACATGCTCAAGCATGCTTACTGGAAGTCCAAGCCCCTCGCCCACAAAACCTCCTTTACCCCCTCCCTCCAACCTTTTCGAGGACGACCCCTACCCCGCCTTCCTTCCCCTACAGATTTATACGCTTTCCATGTCATTCTACTTTGATCCATTCTCTCTAAATGACCAAACCACTTCAACAACCCCTCATCAGCCCTCTGACTAATACTTTTATTTACTCCACACCTTCTCCTAATTTCCATACTCCGAATTCTCTGCATAATATTTACACCACACATTGCCTTTAGACAGGACATCTCCACTGCCTCCTCGCTGCAGCATTTACAACCCAAGCTTCACACCCATATAAGAGTGTTGGTACCACTATACTTTAATACATTACCTTCTTTGACTCCATAGATAATGTTTTTGTCTCCACATATACCTCAATGCACCACTCACCTTTTTTCCTTTATCAATTCTGTGGTTAACCTCATCCTTCATACATGCATCCGCTGACACGTCAACTCCCAAATATCTGAAAATATTCACTTCTTCTATACTTGTCCTCTCCAATTTGCTATCTAATTTTTCTTTATCTAAATCATTTGATACCCTCATCACCTTATTCTTTTCTGTGTTCACTTTCAAATTTCTACCTTTACACACACTCCCAAACTCATCCACTAGCCTCTGCAACTTTTCTTTAGAATCTCCCATAAGCACAGTATCATCAACAAAAAGTAACTGTGTCAGTTCCCATTTTGTGTTTGATTCCCCATAATTTAATCCCACCCCTCTCCCGAACACCCTAGCATTTACTTTTTCTACAACCCCATCTATAAATATATTAAACAACCACTGTGACATTACACAACCCTGTCTAAGACCCATCTTTCCCCGGAAGTAGTCTCCCTCTCTTCTACACACCCTAACCTGAGCCTCACTATCCTCATAAAAACTCTTTACAGCATTTAGTAACTTACTACCTATTCCATATACTTGCAACATCTGCCACATTGCTCCCCTATCCACTCTATCATGTGCCTTTTTTAAATCCATAAATACAATGAAATCTTCCCTACGTTTATCTAAATACTGTTCACATATGTGCTTCAATGTAAACACTTGATCTACACATCCCCTACCCACTCTTAAACCTCCTTGTTAATCCGCAATCCTACATTCTCTCTTGCCTCTAATTCTTTCAATAATACAATAATGCACTTTTCCAGGTATACTCAGTAAACTTTTGTCCCCTTTCCCTTTATATAAAGGAATTATACATGCTCTCTGCCAATCCCTAGGTACCTTTCCCTCTTTCATACATTTATTAACCCTTTCAGGGTTTCTGATGTACTAGTATGGCTTATGCACCAGGGTTATTGACATTCTAGTACACGTAAATTCTAGCATCTTCAAATCTAGTGAGATAAAGCTGGTAGGCCTACATATGAAAGAATGGGTCTATGTGGTCATTGTGCATGGTATAAAAAAATCCTGCAGCACACAGTGCACAATGAGAAAAAAAAAAATTTGTGTTTTTGGTTTAAAACAGTAACTTTTCACTGTATTTTCATATGGTATTTATGGTTGTGTTCTCGTTTTCCTGTTCTCATTTTGTAGAATGGAAGACATATTACAGAAATGGAGATGATTTTGATTGGTTTCACAATGAAAAGTACCTTGAAATTTAGCTCAAAGTAGCAGAAATATTCAATTTTTGCCAAAGTTCAGAAGTAAACAAATCATGCCACTCGTCCAAAATACATCAACTGGTGAGGCTAATATTCTTTCACAAGTGTGCTGATATTGTTTATACCATTTCTACACTAATGCAGTATTCTGTATAACAGTAAATCTTCTATTTTTTGTGAGAATAAAAATTCAAAGTGGAAAACAAAAGAAATGTAAGAGGGGGCTGGGAATGTGACTAATGAACAGAGGAAATGTTATTTTAGTGCCAGAAATGTCTCTCTTGCTTATTCTGGATCCTATTTGGAAATTGGCATCTTTTGAAATTTGTGTGAAACTGGCAAAATTGCTAATTTCTGACCACTTTATTGGATAGTTGAAATCTGTAAATGGGTGGTTTCTTAAACTCATTCGATAGAAAAAATGAAGTTCTAGTGAAATAGTTATGATTTTTGTCGACTAGTACTCTGGAATTGGCCGAAAATTGGGCTCAAAGTCGGCAAAATCGGGGATGCATAAACATCGCCGAGACCGCTAACTTCACGAGAGCATACAAGACCTTGCAAGGGTTAAACAAAAATACCAATCACTCCAACACTATATTCCCTCCTGCTTTTAACATTTCTGTCATGATCCCATCAGTTCCAGCTGCTTTACCCCCTTTCATTCTACGTAATGCCTCACGCACCTTCCCCACACTTACATGGTGCTCTTCTTCACTCCTAAAAGATGGCATACCTCCCTGGCCATTGCATGAAATTACCGACATTTAAAAGTTCCTCAAAATATTCCCGACATCTACCCAATACCTCCATCTCCCTATCTACTAACTCCCGTACTCTGATTTTAACTGACAGATCCATTCGTTCCCTTGGGTTTCTTAACTTGTTTATGTCACTTCAAAATTTTCTCTTATTTTCATCAAAATTTCTTGACAGTGCCTCTTCCACTCTATCATCTGCTCTCCTTTTACACTCTCTCACCACTCTCTTCACCTTTCTTTTACTCTCCATATACTCTACTCTTCTTATAACACTTTTGCTTTGTAAAAACCTCTCATAAACTATCTTTTTCTCTTTTATCACACCCTTCATCATTCCACCAATCACTCCTCTTTCCTCCTGCACCCACCCTCCTATAGCCACATTCTAATACTGCATTCTTAAAACTATTCCAACCCTCTTCAACCCTCCACTGCTCATATTTGCACTAGCCCACCTCTCTCTTGTTGTTGCCATTTTCCTTTTGTCCCATCTACCTCTTACTCTAACTGTAGCTACAACTAAATAATGATCCGATATACCAGTTGCCCCTCTGTAAACATGTACATCCTGAAGCTTACCCATCAACCTCTTATCCACTAATATATAATCTAACAAACTACTTTCATTACGTGCTATATTATACCTTGTATATTTATTTACCCTCTTTTTCATAAAATATGTATTACTTATTACCAAACTTCTTTCTACACATAGCTCAATTAAAGGCTCCCCATTTTCATTTAGCCTTGGCACTCCAGATTTACCTACTACTCACTCCACAACATTTTTACCCACTTTAGCATTGAAATCCCCAACCATAAGTACTCGCACACTTGGTTCAAAACTCTCCATACACTCACTCAAAAATTTCCAAAACCTCTATCTCTCTCCTCTTCACTTCTCTCTTCTCCAGGTGCATATATGCTTACTATAACCCATTTTTCACATCCAACCTTTATTTTACTCCACATAATTCTTGAATTAATACATTTATACTCTGTCTTTTCCTGCCATAGCTTATCCTTCTACATTATTGCTACTCCTTCTTTAGCTCTAACTCTGTTTGAAACCCCTGACCT